AGCCCCCAGAGCCTCCATCCAGCAGGTGCACGCCGTGGGGTCAGGGCTGCCCCACCAGCAGCTGGATTGGAGGCAGCCCGTCATGGGGCTGGAGGAGGCTCCACAGGCAGCAGGGTCAGGATGGGCAGGGGGACAGCGGAGCGGAGCTACAGGTAGGCAGGCAGGTCCTTCTCGATCACCTGTGGGCAAGAGGGGAGCATTGTACCCCGAGAACATCCCTGGCCTTCCCCTCCTCCTCAGCAGCAGCACTTACATAGGGATCTTCCATTGGGCTGTACCTCTTCACCACTTGACCTTCCCGGTTAATGAGGAACTGTGGGAGTGAAGCAACCCCTGGTGAGCGAGTCCAGGGCTCCCAGGGAGCTGTTGGGGGTGTGACAGCTCAACCCCCACAGCCCCACAGCCGTGCTCTGGGCAGGGCAGGGGTTCCCAAGGGTCTCTAGACACAGGAACCCCTTGGGATGCTCCCGCCCTGACACCTGGGGTAATGGCACAGAGCAGAGCCCAGTGAGAGGCTCCCTCCTGCCTCAGGGCCCCCCCAGCTCCCCAGAGGGAGGCACAGCCCAGAGGAAGCAACTGTGTCCTACCTTGGTGAAGTTCCATTTTATTGCACTAGGAGAGGAAAAAAACAGGAATTACTTTTGGGCAGAAAAGCCCTTCCTCACCCCCAGCCAAGCCATGAGCCGGCTGCAGGGCTGGGGGATTCCCCAGGGTTCCCCATCCCACACTCACTTGCCCAGGGTGCCTCTGCCCTTGGGCTGTTCCTTCATCCACTTCCAGAGGGGGTGAGCATCATCCCCGTTGACATCGATCTTGCTGTACATGTCGAACTTCACCCCGTAGTTCTCAGCAAATGCCTTGATCTGAGCGTTGTCCCCGGGCTCCTGAGGGGCCACACCGGGACCGTGAGGGTCCCCGGACCATCCTGCCACTCCCGGGGAACTCGAGCCGCCACCCCACGTACCTGCTTCCCAAACTGGTTGCAGGGAAAGCCCAGGATGCGTAAACCTCTCTCAGCGTATCGGGCGTGCAAGTCGACAAGCTGAGTGTAGTTTACCGCGGTTTTCCCTCATTTGGAGGCCACGTTGGTGATGATACAGACGTCGCCCCTGCAGAGGGGGTGGATGAGCTGCCCTTCCCCGCGGGGCGCGGGCAGAGTCCCCTCACCCGCCCGGGCGAGGCCTGAGGGTTACGCAAGCACCCCCGTGGCTCAGCCTCGCCCGTTCCACCACCCCGGGCCCCTCCGTCCTACCGGTACTTCTCCAGGGACACGTCGTTACTATCGATGTCGAGGGCGTGAAAGTCGTAGATGGCCCTGGCCGAGCGCCAGTCGTCCGCCTGGGCACACTGAGGGACGGGGGCGTCATTGGGGAGCCCCGCGCCGGCCCCGCCACCTCCGCTCCCCTGAGGGACCCTGCGGCCTCTCCGCACCCCGGCCAGGCCAGCCCGGGCCCGAGTCCCCGCCACCCGCCCTGGGCACCCCGCGGGAGAGACCCAGGGTCACCCCTAGGCTCAGCCCCCGGCTAGCAGAGCGGTCCCGGAGCGGGCCGAGCCGCGCTCCCCGAGCGGCCCCGCACTCACCATGCTCCGCACCGCGCCCAGCCCCGGTCCCGGTCCCGCTACCGCTGCCCGCACCGCCGCCCGCCCGCAGAGCAGCACGCCCCGCACCGCGCCGGCCCAGCCCATCGCACGCAAACCCCGCCCCTTCGGCACGATCAGCCAATCAGCGCGCAGACAGGCAGCCTGGGTGGGGTGATGGATAGAAAACTGACCAATAGAAACGCAGAGCGGGCGGGAAGCCCGCAGGGGTGTTTATCGGCAGAGACCACGAGGGTGGGGGGCAGGGACAGACCAAAGGGCGGGGTGTGGAGTCAGGTGCTGCGGGCCGCGGCCTCCCGGGCGGCGATTCCCTCCTGACCGGCCGCGGGTTCCGAACAGAGGCGCAGCAACTCAGAGACCCCCCCCGACAGCAGCAGAGAGAAGGCCGTTCCCTCCGGAGCCAGGGGCGGGGGACAGCTCTCAGCGGACCACATCTCCCAGGAGGCTCTGCGGCTGAAGGCCCCCATGTGCGCCTCGGCGCCGCCTGTGTGTGCGCGCGGGGCAGGCGGCAGCGCCGGCAGTCCGCGGGGGCCTCAGCGGGAAAGATGGACGATGAGGAGGAGACGTACCGGCTGTGGAAGATCCGCAAAACCATCATGCAGGTCCGGGGGAACGGAGGGACCGGGAGGGCCCAGCCTGGTGTGCCGGGAGGTCTGGAAGCGCTGCGGGGTGGAGGTGTGGGACGTGGAGGCCGCTCCGCCGGCCCGTTCCCGGTGCGGGCGCGTTCCTGAGCCCGGTGCTGCTCCCGCAGCTCTGCCACGACCGCGGGTACCTGGTGACCCAGGACGAGCTGGACCAGACGCTGGAGGAGTTCAAGGCGCAGTTTGGGGACAAGCCCAGCGAGGGCCGCCCCCGTCGCACCGACCTGACCGTGCTGGTTGCTCACAACGACGATCCCACGGACCAGATGTTCGTGTTCTTCCCCGGTGAGCAGGGAAAGCCCGGCGGGGTTCACAGCGGCAACGGGAGGCTCTCGGTGACCCCGGCTCCGCCTGTGCCCCCAGGTCCAGGTGACCCCAGGATTCGGAGCACTGGGGGTTCAGGTGCCCCCGGTGTGGCTGAGTCCTCGGGGAGGGGGGTTCAGAGCGCGGGGGCTCGCGGTGACCCCGGCTCTGGTTCTTTCCTCAGAGGAGCCCAAGGTGGGGATCAAGACGATCAAGATGTACTGCCAGCGCATGCAGGAGGAGAACATCACACGGGCACTGATCGTGGTGCAGCAGGGAATGACCCCCTCGGCCAAGCAGGTCTGTGGGGACAGGGCTGTGTCCCACTTCGAGGCTCCTGGGGGGACCATGAAGGTTTTTCCCTGTTTCCTAGCGTTGCTGTGGATAAATAAAGCCCCGAATTTACCTCTGGATAAAAGCTTTCGCTGGAGCCTGTTGTACCTTAGCACAGGCTCTTTTTTAGCACCCAAATGTGTTTAACCAGAGCAGCTGGTTCTGGTGGCAGTGGCACAGCTGAGGGCCCACGAGCAGTCAGAAGGTGGGGGAGGGAAAAGGAGATGTTTCCCTGTTCTGGGAGCTCCATGTGCTCGTTCCCAGCTTGCCTGTGTCTGTGTGAGCCCAGGTGCTTACCCAGGAGCAGCTCTGAGCACTGCCAGGACTGCCCCAGACACCTCTGATGGGCCTTTTCCTTCCAGTCCCTGGTTGACATGGCTCCCAAATACATCCTGGAGCAGTTCCTGCAGCAGGAGCTTCTCATCAACATCACGGAGCACGAGGTGAGCAGGGGTAGGATGGTCCCTCCCTTGAGCTGGCTGCATTCCTGCTGCTCCCAGAGTCCTCCTGCCGTCTTTGGGCTCAGGGACACAGTTGTCCTTTCCCCCTCCCAAACACGTTGTCTCCAGTTGCTGCCTCATCTCAGCCTCTCTCATGTTTGCAGCTGGTGCCAGAGCACGTGGTCATGACAAAGGAGGAAGTAACGGAGCTGCTGGCCCGATAGTATCCTTTCGGTGTCCCTTTTGGTGTCCCTTTTGGTGTCCCTTTCAGTGTCCCTTTCAGTGTCCCTTTCGTTCCCTCCCCCCTGCTCGGGTACGATGAAATTTGGGCTGAAAATCCCCCCTCCTGCCTCGGTTCATTTCTCTGTTTCACGAGCTGCTGACAGCCCATGGCACATCTAGAGCTTCTCCTTGACTCCCAGCACAGCAAACTGAGGGAGAACCAGCTCCCCAGGATCCAGGCTGGGGACCCTGTGGCCCGGTACTTTGGGATAAAGCGTGGCCAGGTGAGTGGAGCAGGCTGAGGCAGCAGCTCCCTGTGGCAGGGCAGGCAGGGAATGACCCTCGAGGGCATTTTGGAGCTCTTGGAGCAGGAAAAGTGTCTCTTCTTCCTGAGCTCTGTGTCTGCCTTGCAGGTAGTGAAGATCATCAGGCCCAGCGAGACGGCGGGCAGGTACATCACCTACAGACTGGTGCAGTGACACAGTGGGTAAGGATGAGGGGACCCCCTGCTTGGGGGGGCTCTGGGCAGTGCCAGGGAATGTTCCAAGGCCAGTGTGAAGCAGCTGCTTCCAGGGAAATATCTCAGAGTTCTGAATGGCTCATGGAGGGAGCTGTTGGGGAGAGCAGGGTGAGGCTCCCCTGCCACCCATGCCTCTCCTCAGTCTGTGCCCACTGGGATTTGGGGTGGTCAGACGGAGCTGGAGCAGGATCAGGTCAGGGGCAGGAGGTGATTCCCATTCCTCCTTCTCTTCCAGGTGTGAGGATCTGCATGGCTTCCACCAGCAGTTCACAGGAGCTGGGAGATTCCTGCACTTGGAGGTGGCCAAGGAAATCCTCTTCCCACGTTGCCTCTCTGCAGCTCCATCACTGGGCCTCATTCTCTGTCTTCCAGCTTGGACTTTGTGGTGACCCCTCAGTCCCATCCAGCACTCAGCCATGGAAACCTGAAGTGATGGGAGGAAATGAGTAGGAAAGGCTTTTGCTTGCCTGTTTTATGAGCTCTTGTTTGAAATAAAGATTTGTACCCTCAGTGCTGTGGTGTTGTTCAGCCTCTTCCTGCAGCAAAGCCTCGAGACTCTGCAAGTTCCTGTATTTTTCATTATGTTTGGAATCTCTTCCTGCTGGGACTCTGCATCGTGTCTGAGCTCTGCAGACCCTTTGCCAGCTGCCCTGGGCGATTTGGAAGCTGCAGCTCAGATTTACCTTGTTCCTTCCCTGATCTCCTGCCCTGTCCCCTGGTTTGGGACCCTGGTGTTCGGACACTGCGATGGAGAGTTGCTCATCACCCCCAGCTGCACTCATTTGAATCCATCCCAGGACTCTGGGGAGCTTTAAACTTCACTTTTTATGCCAGAAACACTTGGATTTGTTCTCCTGCAGCTGGGGGAGCCTGGAAGATCCTGATTCCCAGGACAAACACGAGTCAGAACACACTGGTTTTATTGGTTTTTTGTGAAGCTTGTCAACGTGAACACAGCAAGGCAGCGTCGTGCAGCAGCACAGGCCTGTCAGGACAAACACAGAATCGACACAACCAGGAGGGAGCTGCCACCGTGGGAAGCTCAAGCACAGCTTTAGCCCCTTCTCTCACTCACACTCACCTTCATCATCCTCACCCACCCTCACACGCACGCGGTACCGCCGTGGCAGCAGCATTCCCACATCCTCCTGCTGCCCTGGAAAAATCCAACTATCCTGTGGAAGAGCTGGAGGGCACAACAAATCCTGGGGGTCTCCAGCTCTTCCCTGGCTCAGTTCCAAACCTTTGAGTTAACCTGGGTTTATGTACCTTTGTTGAGATGGGTTCTCCATTGACTCCAGAGGGTTCAAACCTCCCACCCATTGCCTGGTTCTGCAGTACCAAGGTGTCTGAGACCCACCCCACCATCAGCTGGTCTGTCTCCCACAAGCAGGAGAACAAAGGAAAAGGCTCTCAGCTCATTCCAAGCTAAAACTTGTTTCTCTGTGCCTCAGTGCAGGAAAGTCTCATAGCTTTTAAAAAAACAAAACCACTTAGGCTTTAGTCCGTTTGCCAGCAGAGGTAGTGGAGTCATGTTGAAGGGTTGATTCATGTCTTTACAGAAAAAGAAGCTCAAGATTATACTGGCTGGGGCTGGGGCTGGATCCAGGCCGTGGTGGCCCTGAGGAGGAGGAGGAAGAGGCACTTCCCTGTGGGGACCTGCCCCTTGCCCAGCTCCAAGAGCAGAGGGAGTTAGTCCTGGACTTGCAGCACGGCTTTTTGGAGATGAAAGGACTGTACAACCAAACCCTGAGAGCTCAGCAGGGCTCAGGACCCTGCAGCCAGGCAAATCTGCCCTGAGGCTGTCCACAGCCTGTGGCTGCTCCTTGCATGGCTCCTGCCAAGGAGGGAAATGCCCACCAATCCAAGTATCTGTCAGTCCAAGCAGCAATGCAGATGCCATCAGCTGGGCCAGGACCACACAGTGCTGAGGTTTTGGGGCAGGAAATCCATCCTGAATTCTAGTTCAGTCAGGTGTCAGTGAGGGACATCCCCTGAGATCCTGGCAGATGGCACAGCCCCAAAGCCAAGCCTGGCTCGGGGTGAGATGGTGCAGGGGCTTCACCCCAACCCCAGTGCTGCTCCAGCTGTGTCCCTGTCCCAGTGAGCTGCCTCCAGTTCCGTCTGTCCCTGTGGTGCCATCCTCCTGCCCATCCTGAGTGACTGCTGTCCCCACGTCATCCCTGGCAGCCTCAGCCATCAGGAGTGACCATGTCCTTTGACTCATCCAACCTCCATCTTGCAGCACAGGTGTGGGATTCAGGGATTCAGGAGCACAGCAAAAATAAAACACCTGACACAGGCACAGCCCTGGGTTCCTTCCCAATCCTGAACAAGTGCAGGGTCTGCCCAGACTCAGCTCCCAGGCAAGGTCCTCCATGGCCCTGGCTGAGCCAGGGGTCCCAGCAGGCTGTGACCCCATCCCCTGTCTGGGCACCAAGGGACTCAGAGGTTTTGTGTGAAAGCTCCAGCCAGGAATCAGCCAGGACTCGCTTGCAGCTGACACACCAAACCCCTCCAGGCTTCCATGTGTCCCTCCCACCCCTCCACATTCCAGTTTCCAGCATCTGGGCAGCCTCTGGGATTTGCCCCTTCGTCCATCCCAGTGGTGGCTTAGAAGAGCCGGGGCTGCAGCTCGTGGCTGCCGTGGCCCCGAGGGCTGCCGGGCTGGTTTGTGGCATCCCTGGGCGTGGTGGGACTGCGGCTCTCAGGGTGTTCCTCCACATCACTTTGCTCGTCCCCAGGGCTGCAGCAGCGAGGAGCGGAGCCCTCTGCATCCGACTGGCCCACGCTGCAGCTCCGGCTCCGCAGCCCCTCGCTCCCCTCGTCGCAGAAATGAACCTCCTCCGTGCTGGTCTCGCTCCCCTCCTTGCTCAGGTGTGTCCGTGGCTCCCCGGCGTCCTCCAGCTCCGAGTCGGAGTCCACGGAGCGGTCGCCAGACTCTGTGGGACAGAGGAGCTCTGTGCCACCCTCCAGCCCAGCACCGTGGCTTCAGCAGGGGCTGCATGCAGCAAAGCCTGGGTTCCTGGGGCAGGGACGGGTCTGTGTGCTCTCCGTGCCTCCCAAGGAACCTGCACCTGCCGGGGACCCCCAGTGCCTCCCACTGACCTGCGAGCGAGTCAGCGCTGAAAGCCAAACTCCCCTTCTCCGAAGGCAGCTCCAGGTAGGGGCCGGTGCCAAGAGGAGCCACAGGCGAGGAGCCCGAATGGGCCTGGGAGGGAACAGGGATGGTGGTGAGGGCACGGAGGAGAGTTCTCACTCCCTGGGAGTTGACTCCAGAGAAGGTTCATGGAACACCCCCCGAGGGTCCCCTCTCCCTGGGCATTCCTACCCGCTCAGCACCACTGGCCGCCTCCTCCGTGGCGCCCGAGCCGCGTCTGCCGGGCTCGGCCGGTGCCATGTCCTTGTGCTCGAAGATGGTGGGGTAGAAGATGATGAGTGCCTCAATGATCCGAGCTTGGTGGGGATAATCCACCAGCGAGGACAAGGAAATCGTGGCATCCGTGGGCCTGGGGCGCATCAGTGTTGGCCCAAAGACGATGCCCAGGTTGCCTGAGGTCATCTTGTTGTCCTGTTCCACTTCCATGATCCTGGGTGGGAGGGGGAGGAAGAGCTTGTGAGAGCAAGGAGGGAGAGGGGTGGATGGGCAGGGCTGAGGGGAAATTCTGGGCTGGAACACTCAGGGTAAGGAGAGAAGCAGCTGCAACCACGGATCTTCCTCCTGGCACCAGTGAGGAGGCTGCACTCACCCCAGCGGAGAAAGGGAAGGTGCCCGGCAGCCACACAGGCTCTGGCCATGCCCCTCTCACCTCCTCAGGTGCTGCAGGAGGTACTGGAGCGTGGCCATGTTCTCGCAGGGGAGCTCCTTCAGCAGCTCCCTCAGCTTCAGCACCAGGCTCAGCACCACCTGGTCGGTGTCGGCTCCTCTGTCCAGCAGCTCGGGGCCGCCCTTCCCGCTGCGGCCCTTGGCCTCACCGCCCTGCAGGCTCTCCTTGGCCAGCCCCATCAGCTCGTTGTACAGCCTGAAGGGCATGAGGGGCTCTGGCAGCTGCAGGGAGAAGAGAAGACATGATCCCAGTCCTGGGAGCAGCTCCCACCTCCATCAGAGCCGGACCTGTGCCGAGGTGGTGACACCTGGGGCATTTCTACAGTGAGGAAACATCCCTGGAAGTGCCTGAGGGCAGCTCAGAGAGGGCGTGGAGCACTTTTAACATCCATTTCGGAATTCCATGAGTCTGTGACCTGCAGTGCTGCAAACCTCTCCCCAGAGGTGGTATTTATTTATCCATTTCCTGAAGCATGTCAGACCAGCCTCGTTAGCCCTGGCCAATGAACACTTGTGAAGTTCAAGCCAAAAGCAGCGTTTGATCCATCCCTGGGTGCTCCCTGCTGGGTTGAGGTGCAGGGATTCCCTTCTGTTCCTGGAAAATCCCTGTCTGGGGTGGGCCCAGCTGGAGGTTCCCCAGCAGACAAGGGCTGGCTGGGAAGAGGACAGGGATGGGTTGTTGTGGGTGGGGGTGGCAGGATGTGAAGGGCACAGGATGTGCAGGGCACAGCCTGCAGCAGAGCTGGGGCTGCGGGGGGGGGAAACTCTGCTTTGAAGTTTGTGTGAAGCAGAGGGAGCTGGTGTTGACTGCTGGGTGTTCCACATGGCTGGGGATGTTTTCAGAGCAGCCTCAACGGATGTTTTGGGGACAGGCTGCCTCACAGCAAACGGGTTCCCTCCATCCACCCCTTTATAGGAGGACTTTAAGCCACTTCTCTGCAGCAAGGGGTCAGGCTGGGGCTCAGCACTGATTTCCCCCTCTCTTTCCACTCTGCTTCTCTTTGGAGAAACCACAGAGGCCACTCGGAGTCCTGATGTGCAGGAGCCCAAGGACACAGCTGTCCCTGTGAGGTAACACAGGGCTGCCCCTCTGGAGGGGTCACAGAAAAAGGCAGCACAAAGAGTTAATCCACGGCTGCCTGCGAGGGAGAAGCAGCTTCCGCTGCGCTCCTGCCTTGCGGTGGTGGCTGTGGGAGGATGTGGGTGACGCTGTTTGCAACAACAGCTTGGGTATGGGGTGGGGGGTGCTGGGGCTGAGCACACCCTGGGGTGGCCCGAGGGGCAGAGACCCTGCTGAGCCCACCCCAGGGTGATCCCAGGGGCAGAGACCCCGCTGAACCCACCCCAGGGTGATCCCAGGGGCAGAGATCCCGCTGAACCCACCCCAGGGTGATCCCAGGGGTAGAGATCCTGTTAAACCCACCCCATGGTGATCCCAGGGGCAGAGACCCCTCTGAACCCACCCCAGGGTGATCCCAGGGGCAGAGACCCCTCTGAACCCACCCCAGGGTGATCCCAGGGGCAGAGACCCTGCTGAGCCCACCCCAGGATGACTCCAGGGGCAGAGCCCACCCCATGGGGATGTGACTCAGCTCCTGCAGGGTGACCTTTGCAGGTCCCTTCCCTTTTTGGGTAGCCAGTTCCCCAATTGGAAGGGGTGGAGCGTTCCTTGTTCGGTGCTTGGGCACGTCGCTGTTCTGTGGCTGTGACCACAGTGACGCTGTGTAGGATGAGCTGGGGGGGGTCACTGTGGCCAACCCAAGGCCATCTCCAAGGCCAACCCACCCCCTCCACCCAGGAATGACCCCTCCCTCCCTCCCCACCCACCCAGTCACTGAGCCCACCTAGAGCAGAATTCCTCCTGCCAGGTTGGTTCCTCTGGCCAACTCCCCTCCCCAATTCCCCCGCCATGAGGCACCACCAGCACCTCACCTGTCTCAGGTAGAGCTTCAGGACATTGCTGATGTCATGGGGGGAGGCCTGGGACAGCTCCACCAGCTCCTTCCCATTCTCAAAGGCCTGGCAAAGCTTCTCCACACGGGTCTTGACACCATTAACTCGGTAGATGCCCTGTGAAAGAGAGAAAAGTGGAGCTGAAGTGAGGGGAGAGGTTCCTCTTCATGTTTGCATGGCACAGTGAGCTGTGTGCTCCCACCCTCTCCTTTTGGAGTGGGAAATCCCTTTGGGAAGTCATTTTGGGATATCTCCTTCCAACTCAGTCATTCCTGCTTCATAGGAAAGCAGGAGGCAGGAGCGGGGATTTTCCAAAGGCAGAGTTTGGGTGTCTGGGCCATCCCTGGTTCCCTGCCCTGTGGAAATCTGAAGTCCAGCCTGTTGGTTTTCCAGAGGATCCTTCCAAGGGCCTGTGGCTCAGCCAGCTGAGGAGGAGGAGAGGGGAGTGTCACTCACCTTTGTTTTCAGGGCCCGCTTCTCGATCTCTGAAATGCATTTCTTGACGATGAAGGGGATCCCATCCGGGCTGCCCTGAGACGCCTTCATGAAGTCCTGCCCAAAGAGCTGCAGCTTCCCTTGGAGCTTCTTGTGCCCACACTGGATGGCCAAGGTCTCCAGGCACTTCTTGTGGCAGGCCAGGTAGCACTGGAAGAGAGAGGGGAACACGTGGAGGTTGGGGGCAGCCACAGAGACACCAGGCACTGCTCAGAGCATGGTGGGAGACGGGAAAGATGCCTTGGGGGTGCTGCAGCACCGAGGGAAAGCCCTGTTTTCCACCTGGAACCTTCCCCACAGCAGAAATGTCCCCCTGGCCATGGTCAGAGCTGGATTCCACCCCCAGTTCTCCCAGCTCACCTCCTCGCACTCGGCTCCCTGGAAGTACACGTAGCTGTTGCACTCCCGACATTTGGAGGGGGCACGGAGCTTCCTCAGCCGATGGGTCTGGGCAGCCTTGGACAAGCCAACATTCCTGAAGGGCCCTGTGGGAGCTGCCAGCTCCGGGGTGATCCCGTTGATGCCTATGGAAAAGGAAATGCGAGATCAGGCACAGCTTGAGCAGGACTGTCACCGGTCTGAGCAGGGCTCATCCCTCAGGAAAGGCAGAGCTGCCGGGGACGCCGTCAGGAATCTCCAGCAATTGTTGGGTTTGCCTGCAGAACTACAGAATTTGGGAAAAGCAGCTGGCAGGGAGCTCTGCCGTGGTGGGGGGGGGGTGTGGCAGCAGCTCTGTCACCTCCCATCCTGTCACCTACTCTGCTCAAAGGGAGTGGAGGTCCCGTCCTTCTCCTCCAGCTCCTCACTGGAGGACGCGGTGCCGTTGGATGACAGCCGCTGGAGCTTGTGGCCGAATTCACCTGTCCAAGGAAAGCCCACAGGCCAGTGAATCACCTGCAAAGCTGCTTCTCTTCTGAGAGCTCACCCCATCCCATCAAATCCCACCCTATCCCACTGGAGACTGGGATTGTCATTTACAACAGTGTTCTCACAAGGCAGGTAAAACAGGGGACGGTCCTGCCTCCCTGGGAACCTCTGGGTTCAGACTGGCTGTGCTGGGAGGGGCTCCTGGGCTCTGTATCTACCTGCACTGGAATCCAGGCTGCTGTCAGCATCAGCGACAGAAGTTGGCCAGGATTTGTGGACCTGGTGTCCCCTCCCACCTGCAGAGAGAACACACAGTCCGTTGGGATTGCTGTCTGTGTTTGGGAGAAAATGGCTGGAGAACAGCCTGGATGCCAGGAGAAACTGGGGTGACTGGGGGAAGCTGCTGGTGGGGTTTGGTGCCTCCAGTGACACCCAGCAAGGAAAGGGGAGATGGGCAATGGTTTGTTAGGGACCAAAATCAAGATCTGATTTAGTGTCCTTCAGGAAATCCAGTCTGGGAGGCTCCCAGCCCATCCTGCTGCTGCCAGAAAAGCCCTGGGGGTCCCACTCTGCTCCTGCCTGGGGGGACATGGGGCAGGTGATGCAGAACTCTGGGGCTCCAGACTCACCTCTTCGCTCGGCTGCTCCAGCCCCACTTGGTGACTCCTTGGCTCCTGCTGCTCCCTCCGAGCCAGCCCCGGCCCCTTCTGCACTCGTGGAGAACTCGCTGGCATTGAAGCTGCCCTTCCGTGCCCGAGTAAAGGGAGACCTGGAGGGGAAAAGGGGAAAAGGGAATGCGGATGGAAACACTTGGAAACTTTATCCATGGCTGCCATCCACCCATCTCGGGAATCACGGTCTTTTAAATAAACAGCCTGTCTCATCCATTGAAGGATAAGAGGGCAATTCCCAGCTGGTCCAGCCCCAGCATTCCCAGCAGGAGCTGCCTTCAGGAATGCTGAAAGCATCCTGCCTCCTGCAGGAGAGCGTGGGTGGCAGGAGATAACGAAGGGAACACGGCTGAACCGGAGCATTACCCAGGAATGAACCCTCTCCACCCTTACCAGGCGTTGTGGGACACGTAGGGCTCGAAGTCGTACTGGACGTCGGGCTCGTCGCCGCGCTGCAGCTGCCGGACGTGGGACGCGTACTGCTGGCCCGGGTCGTAGAGCTTGCTGCTCTCACACAGCGTCTGGAAATTCACGGGCAGCGGCGCTGTCTGCATGTGCATGAGCTGGTAGAAGGAGATGGTGGCCTAAAAGTGACGTGGAGAGGGACAGTGAGCTTGGTGGCACGTGAGGAGCTCTGGGTTAGGTGGGAAATCAGGAGCACAAAGCGGTGCTTTTCTGAGCCAGAGGGAGAGAGGAGCTCTGCATCCACCCAAACGCCCTCTGGAATAGCAACAGCTCTGCTGGAAGGCAGCTCTGAGCTCTCCCGAGCAGGGCACAGTCGCCTCCTGCCCTGGGCACACCCCAGGCCAGCCCCACTCACCGACTTGATGACCTGGTCAGTCTGTTTGATCACTTCATGGATCTGCCGCAGGGAGTTCACCTTGGTGTCCTCCAGCTCCTGCTTCTGTGTGTTTGCATCGGCCACACAGGTGCGATACGTGGCCATGGCCTCTTCTGCCTAGAAGTTGGGAGAGCAAGGGATGGGAGCAGCTCAGAGGTGAGGAGAGTAAGAACAGCACCTTGGACCCAGTTCATCCAGGCATTTTTGAGGAGCAGTTTGCCCCACGTGGCTCAGGGGAGAGCAGGAGCAAGGAGGCCCCTCCAGAGCTGTCACCCTCCTACCTTGTTCTTGGCTTCCTCTTCCAGCCGCCTCTTCTTGTCCAGGGTTTTGGTGGTGACGCTGCTGGTCGTGTTTTGCTGCTCCTCCTCCGCTTTCACCGCCATGTACTTGGCCTTGTCGTGCTCCTCGCTGCGCTGCATGTACGTCTGCTTGGCCTTGCGCAGGTTCCCCTCCGCCTCTTGCTGCCAGGGAGAGCCAGGGTGAGGCTGGAGCCCAGCAAGGGGGTCACCAGCTCCTGCTGGGGTCCCCCAGCACAGCAGAGGCACCCAACACTGCTGGAGAGGAGCAGGGTGCCCAGCGCCCTCAGAGGAGGTGTCACGAGTTCCTCCAGGCTGGGATTGGGAACACAAACCCAGCCACTCACCAGTTTCCTCTGCGCCCGGTGCCACTGCTCCTTGATCTCCTTCCTGCGTTTCTCGTGCTCCAGACGTCTCACCGTCAGCGGCTGCATGGGGAAGGGAGGAACAGCCCCCTGATGACCTGAGCTGAGCACTCCTGCTGTGCCAAGGCTTCGCATGGAGAAGTGCCCTGTGGTGGTCACTATCGCTCCTGGGACAGGTCACAGGCACTGGTTTGTGCCAGGGATGAAAATCCACAGCCTGGGAAGTGCTGGATGCAGGTTCCCCCTAGACTGAGCTAAGGAAGAGTCACCTCTGCAACACCAGGACCTCCAGCCCCAGGAAAGACCTTCAGTCCCCTCACCTGGAGGAAGGTTTGTTGCTGCAGGGTGTTGGCTGCCTGCAGAACTGAGGTCCCGTGCTCCATGTCCTGCTCCAGGGCCAGCAGATAGATGGACAGGAAAGGCATGTTGGTCTGGGGAGAGGGAAAGCACATCTCCCTGAGCCCCAGCACCCAGCATGAGCCCAAGGAGATGAGTCCTTCGGGGAGGAAGAGCCAGAGGGAAGGTAAGGCTGGTGACTGCTGGTAAAAGCCCCATCCTGAATTTCTGCAGGCAAAGCTCTGGAGAGGTGTCCCCATGTCCTCCCAAGCTGGGGCACATGGAATGGGCTCTCCAGGGCTGCTGCCTCTCAATCCAGTCTGGCACTGGGGACTTCAGGGACCTGGGGACTTACCTCCTGACTGATGGTTTGCTTGCAGCTGTTTGCCATCTTCTGGAGCCCTTTGGCAAACTCCATCTCTGGAAGAAAAAGGTTGAAAGTGAAAAGACACACGAGACACCGGGATTTCCCTGGTGGAACCCAATCTCCTTTTGAAAAATTAATCAGGAACTTGAGGAGTGAGGTTCCCACTGCCCTGGCAGCATCAGCCTCCTCCAGGCGGGACCTCAACCTGTCCTCTGGCTCAGCCCTGCTCCAGAAGGGACCCAGCTGCTGTTGCCCCACTCACCCAGTGTGGTCCTCTTCTCCAGGTATCCGATCAGGTCCTTCATGTACTTGGAGATGGTCTTGGCGTACTGGAGGGCAGCGTCCACGCCCCCCTCACAGCGCTGCAGCATCACGTCCACTTCCTCGGCCGGAGGACGGGCTGGGGAGGGATGGACACTCCGTGGGCTTCCAGTGCAAACCCCCGCCAGCTCTGTGCCAGCCCCAGTGCCACCAGCTCTGCTGAGGAGCCAGTGTGGCTGAGGACAGCAGCGATGATGGGGAAGGTGCCAGCTCCTGCACAGACCCCAAACCCTGCACCCAGAATCATCCTGCTTACCTGTGTCGTAGCTGCCCATGCCTGAGGGCACTCCATCTCCTCCAGGCCCGGGAATCCCCCCATAGAGGCTCTCCATAGTCTTTGGGAATTGGGAAAGAAGAGGGACTGGTCAGCCAAGAGGATGGGGAGCAGCTGGAGGGGCTGGCAGATGGAGGGAAGCCGGAGCTGCTGGAGCCTTTTGGCCGCTGCTGGAAGTCAGCTGTGCCCAGGCTGTGCCCAGGAGCTAATGGAACTGTCACTGGAGCAACACCCTGCTCTGGGCTCACAGCAGAGCTGAGGGGAGCAGCCAGAGCCCTGTGCCACCCTGAGCCCCACGTGGCAGGAGCAGCCAGGTATCACTCACCTGGTTCTGGTCACTGGGTGGGATGGAGAGGATGGTGCTGCTGTCCACCTCCCCCATGAGGAACTCGGACACCCTGTGGGGACAGGAGCACGGCTGGGCTCAGCACAGGGACAGTGACACAGGCTGCCTGCAGGGGATGGCTGCCCCAAGTCCCTTACGTGCTGCTGAAGGACACGGCGATGGTCTCCACGGCCTTCTCGAACTCCCGCTTGTCTGCCTCATTGTTGGATTCGTAGTGGAAACCTGGAGATGAGGAAATGTGGGAGCCCTGTTGCCACAAGCAGCTGTCCCTGTCTCAGCAGAAAGACCTGCCAGCTCATGCTGGTATCAGAGGGGGCTTTGGGGCTGGGGAAAGGGCTGGGGTGAATCAAAGGAGCAGTGGGAAGGATCAAGCCTATGGACAATGGATTTTTCCAGAGCAGTAGTTTCCCCCTCCTCCTTCCCAGATTGACGTTCCTGACAGCATCTCTTGGCTTGTGTTTCTGTTTATTCCCGTTACTCAGGGCTGCTGGAAAAGTGCTGCTGGACCTGTTCCACTGCCTGCCCTGCCTCGTGGCTCCTCCAGACCCCTCTCCAAGCGGGACAAACTCCTCCAGGAGGGCTCTTACCCCCAGTCAAACAAGGAACCACCACCAGCAGCAGGAACTGGGGCCGACAGCGCTTGGCAGGCACCCACACCATGGGACACCAGCAGCCAGGGCTCCTGGGCAGACCCTGGGCCAATTGGGGTGGGGAGAATTCTGCTCTAAACCCATTCCCTCCCATCCCTGTGTGGGAGCAGCCTCATGGCAGCCCTCCTGCCATCCTGTCCCCCGTGGCTGCTGTTGGGTGTCCAGGAAGCCACAGGTGACTCAGAAGCTTGTGCTGTGGCTGTGGTAGGTGCAGCCACCCCCTCTCCGTGGGTGACAGCGGCAGGAGCTGGTGCCCAGCTGGGATCTGACCTCCCAGACCCCGCTCCATAAACACGAGAGGCTGCCAGGAGCAGGATCCGATTATTTCAGTGTTTTTCCTGTGGCTGTGCCTGGAAACCCCCAGGCAAGATCTGTCATTTCTGACGCTACATCATCCCTAAAGCTGAACCACAGCAAGAGGAAGACAATGCTTTCACCCTCTCCACCAGTCCATGGGGCAGCTCCACTCCTGGCTCCATGGGCTCCTCAATTCCCCCACACCCACTGTGGGGCAGGAGGGGAGCGGGACAGAGCTCCCAGCCCCAGGGTCTCACCCTTGACTTTGGAGATGAGGGTCCCGGCGGCCGTCAGGGTCTCCAGGGTGTTGAGCAGTGGGTACTTGTTGATGACCTGGCGCAGGATGCGCAGGGTTTCACCCAGGCACTCGTGGGCCAGCGGCCGCTGGGGCTCCTTGGGGTCTGCAAGAAAGGGGGGCTGAGATGCTGCATCCTCGTCCCACATCCCTGCCCTGTGTCCCACATCTCTGCTCTGCATTCCTGTCCTGCACCCATCCTCTGCTGACCTCCCAGCCACCGCCTGCCAGCCACGTCCCACCCAGGCAGGGACCTGCCACCAGACCAGGCAGCAAATCCCCCCGGCCTCGGGGCCCCCCAGGACTGCCATGGCCACATCCTGCTTGTCCAGCACCTCCCCACAGCCGTGGCCGTGTGTCTCCTGCCCAGCCTGGTGTTGGCCAGGGGGCAGTCTGACCTTTGAGGCATTTTTTCCTCCATAGTAACTTTTTCCCTTGAAAGCAGTTTGGGAATTTCCTCCATTTCCTTCCCTCCCTCCTGCCAGACGGACGCTCCCAGCCAGGAGGGATGGGCCTGGTCCAGCCAGGCTTTCTGCATCCCACAGGTTCCCCCCAGGGCTCTCCCTGCTGTGGGCTCCAGTTGCCAGCCCAAGGGTCTGGCCAGGACCCCCCAGTGCAGGGCTAGGGCTGGGGATTGGCAACCTGGTTAGGAAGTGAGGAACCTCCACTACGGAAGTGCTGGGATGGGGGATCAGCACCCACTGCCCAGCCAGGTGAAGCCTGTCACCCTGAAAACTCAGCTTCTGAGCTTGCTGACATGGTTTTCTAAGGACTTTTCCAGGATAGTAACTGTAAACATAGATATGTGTACATTCTTTCTGTTACACGTCTTGTGATGGGCATCTCTCATGGCCAGTGCAGTGAGAAAGTGTTATCCTGACCATCCAATCCCTGGCTGTGGTCAGAAGCCTAAAAACCCTGGGAGGAAAAATAAACTTTCTCTTCCATTCACCACACCTCGACCTGTGTCTGTGTGATCTATTCATCTTCAGCGGCAACAGAAGCCCCCGACCCATCCCAACCTCCAGCTCAGGGTTGGGAAGAGGTTTCTGCAAAACCAGGACCGACAACGTGGTGTCACATGCCCCCAGCCCACGGGATCGATGCATTCCCCGTGTCCCCTCGGGCAAGGAGAGCTGCTCGTGAGCCTGCAGACCACCCAACCCCTCCTGCTGCCCGTCCTGGTGGGCTGGGGGGCCGTGCCCGGCACCCCATGGGGGTCGGGGGGCCCTGGCAGGCGGCTGGCACGGCCGTGCTGTAAACAGGAAAACGGGCGGATGAAAATAGCTCGCGGCAGGAAGCCGCTGTTATCCTGGCTCCGAGTTCCACTCACCCACCAGTCACCCACCACCTCTGACTGCGGCTGCACGGTCCCCCCGGGGCTGCTGGTGCCCTCTGGCCCAGGCAGAGACCCCCACCCACGGCTGGGTCTGTCCCGGGGGGCTGCGGTGCGGGTGTTTGGCGCTCACCATCGCGCAGCACCATATCCCGCAGCTTCTCCAGGGCATCGGCGAAGCGGGCGACGTCCGCCAGCAGCTGGGAGATGTCCTCGGGGTCGATGAAGGGACCCTCCCCGCCCTCCATGGGGCTGTAGGACGTGGGGGTCTTGTGTCCCTTGGGCACGGTGCGGGGGGCTGTGGGCAGGGAGAAGCCGGCGGCGCTGGCATGGCGGCTCAGGCTGGTGGGGCGCTTCAGGGTGCCCACGGTGCTGGGGCTGCTGCTGAGCTTGGCGCTGCCTGGGGGCAGCTCCCCCACGCTGGAGCCCGGTGCCTCCAGGCAATCCTTGCGGGAGAGGTCCTGGGGAGCAAGGGTGAGTGTGAGGGCACAGCCAGCACGGCGGGGACCCTGGAGAGGGAAGTACCCCAGGACCTTCCACGCCACCATCCTGGGGAACAGCCTTGGGGGGCTGGTGCCAGACCCTCCAGATGTGTCGTGCCTCAGTTTCCCCCGGCAGGGATCCCCTTCCAGGACCGTCCTGGGAGAGTGGGCAGGGTGTGGGCACTCGCCCGGCTGCCCCCACCAGTCCCTGTCAGCTCCTCTGGGTCCGTGTTTGTCATGAGGGGCACGCAGTGACAGTGTGGGTGACACTGCTTGTCCACCCCAGCTCCCACCGTGATGGGGCTGCCCATCCCAGGGGGCTGGGGACCCCAACACAGCAAAATGGCAGCAGGATCCGGCCCGCGTAGCTCTTCCTCTTTTTCAGCTGCTCCCATGCTGGGGGAGGAGGCAGAGACAGGGACACCTCCCAGGCTGTTGTTGGGGGCTTTGCAGGTATTTTACAGATGGAGGAAGCCCCAAATTTCTAGGGGTAAAATCGCACTGAGGGAGGGGCTGGTAGCGGCACTGTTCAGAGCTGTGCATGGCTTACACATCCAGCGGGAGTCCTTAGGTATGGGGAGGGGACCCTGCAGCCCCTCAGTCCCCCAGCAGCTCCCACCAGTGACCCAAACGCGCGGGGTCTCAGCATCCCTGGCCGGGCGCTGCCGGAAGTGTTTTTGGCACCGGCGGGGCAATCACAGAGCGCCGAGAGCACGAGGCTTCCGCGGGCGAGGGCGAACGGGGGAGCCCATCCCAGGGGGGGCCAGACCACCATGGGGCTGCAAGGAGGCGCAAAGACCTCCACCCCAAAACTCCTGGGGCCACCCCAGCCCTGTCTCGGTCCTCCCGGATTGCAGCGGCCCCGGCGCCCCCCGTCCCTCCCTCCGGTGCCCCGGGGTGCCCCCGGCCGTACCGTCAGCCTCACGGCGGGCGTGCGGGGCAGCGAGTCCAGGGAGCGCTGGGGCGGGTGGGCTCTGCCCGCCGCCGCCGAGGGGCTGTAGCTTTTCCTGCCCGCAGCCCGGCCGAGCATCCCGCTGGCCGCCACCCATAGGCCACTCTCCCGGGGATGGGGACGGGGGTGGGGACGGGTGTCCCCTGCTAAGGAGCCGCGGGTGGGCTCCAGGTCGCCGTCGACCGCATCGTGCCCGGCCGGTGTCGCCCCACGCACCGGGACTGGGGCGCAGGCGCGGGGCGGGCAGTGCGGGGTGCGCCGGGGAGCCCCGGCCCGCAGCGTTTCCTCCTGGCCCCTCCGGCCCCGGGGGGGGGTCCACGCGGCAATAAATAAATATCTGGCAGAGCCGAGGCACCGGGGCTGGCCGAGCCTGCGGTCGCCCCGCTCCCATCCCGGTCCCCAGGGAGGTTTGTGAGTCTCTCTGCCCTTCCCAAACCCTCGGACACGGCCCCCCCATTTCCTCCCTGTCCCTTCCTGCCCTCCCGCCTCCCTCGGCCCCTGCTCAGTCCCCTTCATCTGGGGTAAAATTCCACCCCCCACAGCCCCGTGAGTACGGTTTTTCCTCTTTTCCCTCCTCTTTACAGAGCTCCTGGACGTACCCAGGGCCCCATTGCCAACTTGTGGCTGTGCCCAGCAGTTCCGTGGCTGCTGCTGCCCCTACAAGCCCCACCGTGCCAAAGGTACCGGGGGAGCACTCACCGGCAGGGTCTGTGGGACGGGGCTTCCCGCCCGGCTCTTCTTGGAGATGGAGGGGGTTTTTATGAGCTCTCGCTTCTTCCGGGAGAACATCGTTCCCGGGGGGCCGCTGCCCTCAGCTCCTCGCTCGGCCCGGCCGCAGTGCGGGTTCCTCACGGCTCCGGTCACATTCGCGGGGCGCAGTGTCAGGAGGGCGCGTGTGACGCCGCCTCATTTCCTCATCGGCTTCGCAGCCCGACCTGAAACAGGAAAAGCCGAACGCGCACCCAGGAGCGAGGCCGGGGCCAGGGGCACCCTGGCTGCCCTGCAGGGTCCCAGGGGGCAGCGGGACCCCGGCTCTTCTGGGGATGCTTGAGAGGGTTTCGGTGCTGCAGCCCGGGGCTTACAGAGGGGTGGGGGGCTGAGCCCCTCTCGGTGCTGGTCCCCGTGGGACTGCCGCGCTCTGGGCAGTTCACGCTGTTTGGGGATGTCCACCCGTCCAAGCGCCATCCCTCTGGAGTGCGATGGGGGGCTCTGAGCTCCCACTCGTGGGATGGTCCCGGCTCTGCCCTTCCGTGGGCTCGGTGTCGGTGCCGGGACCGGCGCTCTGGGGGTCACAGCCCTGCCCCTTGTCCCCACCGACCTCTGCGCACCCGCAGTCCCACCCGTGATTCTCCCACCCACGGGGCATCGCGACCTCACAACGGGACTATCCCGGGCACGTCGGATAAACCCCCGATGAGGGCCGGGCCGGGCCCTCTGGGCGCTGCGTGGGGACCCCCGGCCGCTGCCCACGGGCTGCTCGGGCCGGCTGCCAGCCCCGCGGAGGGTCGCGGGGTGACGGTGTGTCCCCCCCGCTTCGTCCCGGGACCTCCCCGCGGGGCCGGGCCGGACCGGGCCGTCTCGAGTGGAACTTCTGCGGGCTCGGTTGGGACACGGGCACGGCGTGGGGTGGGGAAAGGAGAGCGGGACGGGGTCGGGGATGGGTGCGGGGACGAGGGAAGGTGTAGGTGTGCCCTGCGTGTGTGCGTGACCGTGGGTGTGCGCAGACAGGTGTGAGTGAGTGAGTGAGTGAGTGTGTGTGCTGTGTGTGTGTGTGCTGTGTTGTGTGTGTTTGTTGTGTGTATGTGTGTGCACACAACACACCCGTGTGCAGGGATGCACACGCGTGTACCCGTCCGTCTGCGTGTGCATCTGTCCGTGGCCGTGGGTGCCCCGTGCCCAGGGCTCCAGACCCCACCCCGGCTTCCTCCGACTCCCGGTGCTCCCCGGGTCCCAATGTCGGGGCTCGGGACCCTCCCCTCAATCCGGCCGCTCCTGCCCTTATTTGGATATTTCGTCCCGTCCAATGAACGCGGGGGGGCCGGGCCCGTTCCCGCCCCCGCCCCGCCCGAGCCCGCTCCGGTACCGGCCCCGTCCCGCTCCCCGCTCCGGTACCGGCTCTGTTCCCCGCCATGAGCAGCTGCCAGTTCAACAAGGGCCCGTCCTACGGCCTCTCCGCCGAAGTCAAGAATCGGGTGAGCAGCGGCGGGAGCCGGGCGGGACCGGGACCACCGGACGGGGGTGAAGCGGGGGCTGGGGAATACCGGGGCCACCCCGGGAGCTGTGGCTGCCGGTACTCCTGGAGGTCCGGGAGAGCCGAGCATCCCGGTGCTGCTGGGGCGTTCCGGTTGCATCCCGGCTTCTGGAGAGCGGGAGTTTTTTCCGGTATGCCCAGGAATGCAGAGCCGGCCAAGAGCGGAGAAGTTGGGGGATTCCGGGAAGATGGAAATCCGGGGCTTCCCGGGAGGATGCGGAACTGAAGGACCCAGTGTACCGAGGTCTCTGAAGGCTGGGGATACCGAAGCTGCGCTCTCAGTCTCGGGGTGCCCTGAGCCTACCTAGAGGGTCCCAGGGAGGTGTTTTGGGGGACCGGGGCTGGGTGTCTCCCGTGCGGTGGCCGCTGTGGCTCCGCTGTCCCTGGCAAACCGCGGGGCAGCGTCCCCGTCACACCGAGGACTGGGGACGATCACTTCGATCATCCGCGGCTCCGAACCAGCTCCACGAAGCTTCTCCACTTTCTGCCTCCCCGCAGCTCCACATCGCTCTGCGGGATGCTCCGACCTGGTAGCGTCCCCGCGGCGCCGTCTCTGGGGATGCGGCTTTTGGCCCCGGTGGTTCTCGCTCCGAAGTGCCGCGGGGCCGGAAGGGGAAGGAGGGATAGGAGCCTCCGGCAGAGCTGTTTGCACCCCTAGGAGGGATCGGGGTGCCGCGGAGTGTAGGCAGCTGCCAGCATCCTCCTGACCCCTCTGCCGTGCACGGGGGTCCTGCCGGGCAGGGGGGGCGCGGGGGACGCAGCAGCCCCGGGCGGTCGGCGGCTGTGCCCGGCCCCAGGCGAGCGGAGATCGAGCCGTGGTCACCTCGGGGCAGGTGGCCGATGGTTTGAGTGTGTTCTGCCCGGCGACACCTAGACGGGGCCAGGGCAGGCAGGCAGAAGGGACAAGTGGTGACGGGCACGTGGCTGCCGTGGCTGTGGGATGTGGTGGCCGTGGCCGGGCGCTCCTTCCCTGGGCTCGCCGGGGATTTGCATTTCGTAACGGGGAGCGGACGGGCCCCGGCCTGCCTGGGGCTGGGCTGCCCCAGCTGAGCGGGTGACACGCGCCGGGCCCTCACCGCCGCGTGCTCTTGGTGCTTCGTGTTGATTCAGCAAGACGTGAGCCAGTCCGACTGCCCCGGTGCCTCTGATGGAGGTGACATCATCCACTGGGAACCAGTTAAACCAGTGACACGCTCCCAGTCTGTGCAAGCCCTTGCAGACTGGGATCTCTCAGGGGCTGGTCCACTGTGCACTCCCCATGCCCTGGGAAACCCTCAAGCTGGCCGTGGGGAGGGAAGAAGAGCTGGCTTCAGCTGCTCACACCCCGGAAAATCAGCTGGTGGAACTATAGAATCCCCCAGGCAGGACACACCTGGTGTCATGAGGGTGATCCGTGTCCTGCATCAGTTGAGCTTCCATTTGGGACTGGAGTGTCTCCTTACCACCTAGTGGGGCTGGACTGTGCCCATCCCAGTGTCTCCCTGTGTCCAGGATCCCGAGGGACTCATAGATCTCAGCACATAACAGGACCAGGAAGGGTCCCAGGATGGGCGAGAGGTTGGTGGCTGCTCTGGGGCCACCCAGGTGCCAGCGGAGCATCAGAGGTGCTGGGCTGGGGCAGCACTTGGGCTTTCCAGGCCCTTCCCTCCCCGGGCCAGGAGAACTTTCCCTTCCCGTGCGGGCTGGGGCCGACAGGACGCTGTGGGAGATGATGCCGGCCCTGGCAGCTGGTCTCCATTTGGGAGGAGGCGTCCACATTCCTGGCATAGCCGCGGTGACCGAGGAATCTGTGGCGGAGGTTGGGCCTCGCCGGAAGGAAAAGGGAGAGCATCGCGTGGCCAGGACCCCCGGGGCTCAGAGCTGAGCTCCCACGGGCTCCAGGGGACGGGGAGGGACAGATCCCGGTGGGGGGGGACTTCCCCCTAACCCCATGGGCAGTTCCTTCTCATACTTTTGGAATGGTTCAGAAGCTGCTATGTCTGCTGGCAGCCTCATCCTCATGCTCCTGTCCCCATCCCAGCGAGGGAGGAACTGTCCCCCTGAGGGGTTTGGGGTGCACACTGGGGCCCTGCCTGAGCTGTCCCCCTGCTGCCCCCCAGCTCGCCCAGAAGTATGACCCACAGAAGGAGGCTGAGCTGCGGACGTGGATCGAGAGCGTCACAGGAAAACAGATCGGACCTGACTTCCAGAAGGGGCTGAAGGATGGGGTGATCCTCTGCGAGTGAGTCCTGGGGCGGTCCTGAGCATGGCCCCCGGCCCCTGCTCCAGCTGGGTGGATGATGGGGGACACCAAACCTCCAGGGGACCCTCACCAGCCCTTGTAGTGGGAAGGGTGGGCTGGATCCGTGCCAGTGGGACCTGCCAGAGTCACCCCCAAGGCTTCTGTGTCTGGGGAGAGCCCTGACAACAAACAGGGACCTGGGGGGGAAATTTGCCTCACATGGAGGAGTTGTGGGCTGGACCTTCCTGAAAGGAGCCTATGCCCTGCAGCCCCTTGAGGTTCCTTCCTGCCACAGCCTCATGTCCCCCTGCCTCCCTGCAGGCTCATGAACGAGCTGCAGCCCAACTCGGTGAGGAAGATCAACCGCTCGGCTCAGAACTGGCACCAGGTAGGTGCAGCTCTGCTGCCACCCACCTGCTGTTCCTCTGCCATCACCCACCAGGGCTCACCCCTCTGCCTCTCCGCAGCTTGAGAACCTCTCCAACTTCATCAAGGCCATGGTCAGCTATGGCATGAACCCCGTGGACCTGTTTGAAGCCAATGACCTTTTTGAGAGCGGGAACCTGACGCAGGTGCAGGTGTCGTTGCTGGCACTGGCGGGAATGGTGAGCACGGGGGGATGAGCAGCTTGGGAGGGGCTGCAGCCCCATGGGGACCCCCAGTTTGGGGTGGTGTCTGTGGGATCGCAGAGCTCCCCCTGCACAGGGAGTGGGTGGGGGGGTTTGGGACCCCTGTCCTTCCTCACTTCCAGCCACTCCTGGCAGGCCAAGACGAAGGGGCTGCAGAGCGGGGTGGACATCGGCGTGAAGTACTCAGAGAAGCAGCAGAGGAATTTCGACGAGGCCAAGATGAAGGCTGGGCAGTGTGTGATCGGGCTGCAGGTGGGCTGCCCCACAGGGTCCCATGGGTGGAGGGTTGGGAAAAGGGTGCCCAGTTCTATCAGATTCTCAGCACTGTTACAGCTCCAAGCGTTGCTGGAGGGATCTGAGGCATGAGGTGCCTCAAGTGTCCTTGGGATCTGGGACTGCCTTGGCTCTGTGTCCTGCACTCAATGGCTGGGAGCCTGAGATGGGTTAGGGAGCACTGGCTGTGTCCCCCGGGATTGGGGGAGAAGGGGCACATGTGAGGCAGCACACGCTCCTCACCAGACCCCTTTGTCAGATGGGCACGAACAAGTGTGCTAGCCAGTCCGGCATGACAGCCTATGGCACCCGGAGACACCTCTACGATCCAAAAAACCAGATCCTGCCACCCATGGACCACTCCACCATCAGCCTCCAGATGGGCACCAACAAGTGTGCCAGTCAGGTGAGCCCCCACGCCGGGCTGGGGAGGGATGGGGGGACCACAGCTGAGCCCTGCTGCATCCTGTCCTTCCTTCC